CTTCATTGTCTGATTTACCTATAAGTGTGTGTATGTATATATATATATATATATATATATATATATATATATATATATATATATATATATATATATATATATATATATGTGTGTGTGTGTGTGTGTGTGTGTGTGTGTGTGTGTGTGTGTGTGTTATATATTCATATAAATGTGTGTGTGTTAGTGAGTGAGTGAGTGTGTTAGTGAGCGTGGGTGTGTATTACTGCGTATGTGTTAGTGAGTGAGTGTGTGCGGAATTTTCCTTGTATTGACCGCTCCTCCGTCGAAACCAGTGATGGAAGTGTAACGTTTGTATGTATACAATATACACAAATCAATCATTTACGGAGGAAAATAAATCTATACAAACATAGCCAAGAAAAAAAATAATATAATAATAAAAACAAACACCAAAATAAATTACCGTGTTCACTTGGTTTTTTAAAGATTAATTTCTTAATTAATTTCAAATGCTCGTCAGCACATTTACAGGCCTAATAGGAGAGGCTAAAAATATTACACACTATAACGCTATATTTTATTATGAATTTATATTTACATACTTAAATCGTGATACGTTTACATAGTCGAAGCATGTTACTATAATAAATAAAGTCTACAGTTTATCAGAATATCAAAAATAAAATCTCTGTATTGGTAATAAACATTTGTAAGAAGAAATTAATTCATAACAAATGATAAGACATAAGAGAACAAAAATATTTATAAATTACTTTTACCATAGTTTACCATAGTATTTCGTTCTCTCTCATTCATCGTTAGTGGGGATACGAGTACAACAAAACTTTAAAACAACACCCAAGACATTTACAATAAACTCACCAACTTCGATTCCACAACCCTACACACAAAACAAAAATATAAACAAAATATCTAAAACACCAAAAAAATTACAATCTTTTACATACTTGATTTACTTCCACCCCCCCACGAGAGAAAAAACCGAATGCCGCCGTAGCCCCTTCCCAAACATTGAGCACGCATGTGTTGAAACGCGTGGAGGGACAGAGGCACCTCGCGAACCACTTAATTTTGTCATTATTTCAATTAAGGATGAGTGGAAAGAAGAGAAAGCTCCCCACTGTCAAGGATGAAGTGTTTGAAGATGAAATTGGGAATGTAAGTATATGTATGTATGTATTTGTAAGAAAAACTCCGGTTAAGAAAGCTATGTGTGTGGAGTTCGTGATTTATTTCGGTTTTTTATTCGGGAGGCGAATAATGCTTTTGGAATATGTAGTAGATTTACATTTGGTTAAGATTCTCGTTATTTTACATTTATACAAAGTAGGCCATTTAAAGTAATCTGCAAGTAGTTTTAAACTATCGATAAGTATGTAATTTTCTAGACCTGCAGTACCATAGTTCTAATGTTAATGGAGGTTCGAGATCATATGGCATAGATGGATGCTTAGGTATTTCACATTAATAGTAATAATTATGACAGAAATATTCATAGAAACTTAGAAATCCACACACTGCTGAGGACAATAGCTTGTGTTCTCTCAAAGGTCTTGAAACAATCTCTTCTTGTATGTATACATTATCAGGGCAGAGGTTGGACTTGTTCCTTACTTGATGATAGAATGCCACGAAAGTTTACAAGTTCTGTGTTGTTAGAATGTATATGGAGGGCTGTTTGCAAGTTCTAGAGCTTGGCACCAAGGTCCCTATGAATACCCTTGTTGGTACTGTAACTGTTTACACATTAATATTCTCAGTAATGTTTTTGTTTTACACAGCCATCCACACTTGCAGTTATTGTTCCTTCTTTCAATTATGCCTGCTGTAATATATGTCTTATTATTTTCCACCGCAAGTTATATAAATGAAAGTATTAGTATTGTTTATGAAGTGACTGCACCCTTCTGCGACTAAGTACCTATTAATGCAGCTACTCTGTGATATCCATATGAATCAAACACCTCCCTAACCTGGAGTCTAGGAGGACAGAGATTATGACCAGGGTAATTTTTTTGTTTCACACATCCATCCAACCTTGCAATCATTATTCTTTGTTTTGATTATACACATTATAACATGTGTGAGTCTGTTGTTGTTTTCCAATAAATAGATAAAAGTATTGGTAACTGTTTATAGAGAGAACTCCCTTTTACTCCAACTACTCTGGAAATCTGTAAACATTACTGTATGAACCCAAATTCTTCCAAACCTATAGGCTTTGCCCCATACCCACACCTAATCACAGAATTTCCATAATGGGGGCTTCACCCAGAATTAGTTGCAACCTATTTTCTTTTTTATGTTATTCTTTGCCTGCACATGTTATTTCCCTCATACATACACACACATGGCTCCTCAAGTACTCTTAGCTACCAAGAGTCATTCCTGATTCCCCATTCCTTGAATATTTGGGGACTTTTTTTTATTGCTTTTAGTATTGCTAATAATATTATTATTATTGTCATTATTATCATAAAGTTATTAAAAGACAAGTAGCATTAAAAAAGAATCTACTAAAATCAATTTTTAGGTTTGACTAGTAATTGACTTCTTGGTGACTAAGTATTTGTTGAGCCCTATAAGTTTAAGTACAATCACAGTAAACATGATGTTTATGTCATGACATCTCAGCACAAAGAGTTAAGATGGCCTTTTTTTCAAACAGCAAATACTTAATAACATATATGATTTGAAATACCAGTATTATGTGAATAAACTCATGCAATTTCTGTGTGATACATATTCTCATGTCATTGTGGTTTCTCTCTTTTTCAGGATGATTTCATGACAAAGCAGTTTGAGGATGAAGGAAACTCGGACTCAGAATATAGCATCAGTGAAGGTGAAGAAGAAACTGAAATCTTAGAGGATGACTCAGAGGAGGAATCAGGTGATGAATCAGACGACGAATCAGACGATGAACCAGACGACGAGAGTGCAGAGAGAGGGGAAAGTAAACAGGTGAATCAAAAGAAAATAGGTTCCAAAGGAGGGGCAAAATCAAAGAATGCAGGGAAGAAGATTGGAAAGGAAGCAGCAGAGGCCAAGGAAGATCATGCCTCGAAGTCGGACGAGGAAGAAGGTTCGGAGGAGGAAGATTCTGACGAGGAAAACTGGCACGACATGACATCAGACGAGGACGGAAGCGAGATTGACAGTGAGGATGGGGAGTGGGAGACAGAGAGCGAGAGCGAGGAAAGGGAGTGGGAAGAGGGTTCTGACGGCAGCAAGAATGGGAAAGATAGCGGTGTCGAGTCAGATGTGGCTGGCGAGGTGAAGGTGGACAAGGAACTGAGGAAAAGAACAGCAGTCAAAAAAGTTTTATCTCGCATTAGGAATTTGGGAGAGGGAGAAAATAAAAGCGAGGCAAGCACCAGTGGTACAACTACATCAAAGAAGGAGGAGGAGGGGGAGGAAGAGAAAGCATTATTCGATGAATATGAAGAAGACTCATCGGATGAAGAAGATCTCAGGAACACAATTGGTAAGAAGAGAGGATATGAAAAAGCATGTGAAAGAATTATGAATCATTTCAGATTTTATTTATACTTAAAAAAATATATATATATTGCATTACAGTTTGTAATGACAATTTTTTCTGAAAATAGATGCATATACATTGACAAAAGGAAAATATTACTTCAAGAAATAATATTCTTTCTTTTTTCACTCAGGAAACATCCCAATGAACTGGTATGATGAGTACCCGCACATGGGATACGATCTGGATGGAAACCCTATCATCAAGCCCGAAAAAGGAGACAAGCTGGATCAGTTCTTGAGGATGATAGAAGATCCAGATCATGGGTGAGTCTCAGTAATAAGTGTTTAGGTAATTGTCTAGAAGGCGAGCACACAATATAATGCTATGACCTCTCTGCCTCATGTTGCAGCCAAGGAAGATAAATCTCCATCCTTTATATTTTGACAAGATTAGAGCTGGTTTGTTATTTGGTAGTAAATCACTAGCTTTATCTTGCTAGAATATGTATGATAGAAGTTTGGTAGCCATTGCTGGAGAAAAAAGAGTGGAAGCTGCTCTTAACACATACAGCATCCGGGTTTTGCAAGCTATCGAGGACTTTCCATTACTTTCTGTAGAAAACTTTATTTTCCTAATAGGGAATAGGTTGTTTAAATGTTCAGTATGACCATTACCATTACTTTAGTTTTCCTCTATTTCTGCACTCTCCTTTTATCCATGCATGCATACATACATATATACATACATACAATGTAGATATATATACATATATATATATAATGTATATATAATATGTGTGTGTGTTTGTGTATATATGTATTTTTTATACACTATACTTACATGTATATACATTAGTATATGTTCCTTTCATGCCTTGCCTGTGTTTTTATCTTCAACAATATTTCAATATTCATTAAACCCCTTTGCCTAAAACTCATACTTCATCCCTCTTGCATTTCAGGCGAACAGTGTACGACAAACAGACTGGCCAGGAAGTGCGGCTGAGTGACGCAGACTTGGATATAGTGAGGCGCGTCCTATCTAACAAAGTCCCAGATGCCAAGTATAATATGTACAGTAAATGGATTGATCACTTCACTCATGAGGTTATGGACATGCCTCTCTCTGGCCGGCCGGAACACAAGAGGTCCTTCATTCCGAGCAAGGTATATTCTTGTTTGCATTTTTGGTAGTTGTTTGGTTTGACAGTGTTTTTACAAATGTGTTTTTGTGATTGAAGTTATCATTGTCCACTTTTACTGTAATGATAGTGATGATTATTAAGATCCTGGGCATCATCATCTCCTGTCACCACCATCACTCACCACCACTGGTCATATTGTTTCTTTGCAAATACTCAAGCCCGCTTTAATTATTCTAAAAATATGTCCATTCTAAAGATTTGTAATGTTTGTATTTATCGTTTGTAGAATGAGGCTGCATATGTGGCAAGGAGAGCAGAGCTGATCAAGAAGGGAATGGTTACTTATAAGACCAAGCAGAAGAAAAAACGGTATTATGACCTATGGGG